CCAACATCCCCCTGGCCGTGAGCTTCGAGGAGGTCGCACGAGAAGTCCCCATTTTGAAAGTGAGCCGCCCTCCAGCCGTGCAGGTGTTGCAGATGTTCGGCCTGAACAGTTTCATGATCTTCCCCGCCAGGGCTCCCCCTCCTCCTCCTCCTTGCCCCTCGCCCCTCGCCCCTCCTCCTCCTCCTCCTCCTCCTCCTCCTCCTCCTCCTCCTCCTCCTCCTCCTCCTCCTCCTCCTCCTCCTCCTCCTCCTCCTCTCGTTTTTTCCTGTGGCGCTTCTGCGGCGCGCTCCCGGGCGCTCCCGGGCTTCCCCGCCGACGCTGCCCAGAGCGCGCTCGATCCCAGGCACCCCCGGAAAGTGACCCCAGCGGCTGCGCGGGCGGAGGGTGCGCGGCGGTCTGCAGCAACGGAGGGTCGCGTCGCGCGGCGGCGGCAGGCTCAGGAGCGGAAAAAGGACGTACATGTACATGAATCCACGCTGGTTTCGAGAGTTCGCATTGCGCAAATGTTCGTATAACGCGGCCGGCCTCGCGGATCGAGGGGCCGTGTTCATGTACATAGTTGGGCGCGTACATCCTTTGTGGGCTCCCTAGCAGGCACCGCTCGGCGGTGCACTCGCCCAGCAGCTACGCTTTTTTGAGTCGGGCGTGCCCCTCGACAGGAGGGAGATCCAACAATAGGTCAAAAAAGCATAGCCTGGGGAGTTTTTGTTCTTTTGTGCTATGTTTGCCCATTTGGGGGTATGTTTTGTGTATTTGCATTGCTCGCCCAAGCTCCCCCTGTAGGGGGACATGCCCGACCTAAAGCTACGCAGATGGATGGAGGGCGAGTAGTGTTCAAAGTCGGGTTCCACCGCGCGCAATGGTCTTGAACAGATCCAGTGATGGCACGGATGGACGGTTGTTCTGCTTCGCAGCATTGGGTGCCGTGGGATTCTTCACACTCCACCACCGCAAGTTTAGATAGGTTGGACATCGGTTACACGGATGGGGGGCGGCGCTGTTTCAGAAGTGCGCGTTCTTGTGAGGCATCGTTAGACGTTATGGCCATGTGCCGCAAGTTGTACAATTGCTACACGGGTTTGGGCGGGTTCGGCATATTCAATTGCGATGTTCGTTGGCCAACCTTGTTCGAAAAACGTTAACATGACCCTCCAAGGCCTTAGGCCTTAGGCCTGAGAGCCAGCGAACTTTATGCACCGCCGCCCTCCCTGAAGGTACATGCCCAGTTCGTCGGGGGGCGTCTGTGCATACACGCTCGTGGCGCAGTGCATCATCGCCGCGCATCCTTATTATGCGGGTTGACAGAACTCTCACGAGTCAACGGTGTCGCGTTCATAGCTCGACGGATGCAGGGCAGTGCCGTTCCGAAGCGGCGCTCCCGCCCGCACTGTGGGCACGCAGGGGCGCTCGTCTCCCAAGGGGCGCGCTCAGCGCAGTGAGGAAGACTGCTTGTGATGGCTCCTCCTCCTCCTCCTGCTCCTTCTCCTCCTTCCTCTCCTCCTCCTCCCCCTCCTGTCTCCTCCTCCTCGTCCTTCTCCTCCTGCTCGTCCTCCCCTGTCGTCATCCTCCTCCTCCTCCCATCCTGCTCCTCCTCCTCGTCCTCCTCCTCCTCCTGCTCCTCCGTATTGGCGTCGCACAGATTCGATGCAACAGCATGTAGCAGTATTCATCCTCCTCCTGTTCTTCCTCCTCCCCGCTCGCCTCCCACCGTGCGCGGGGCACGTGGGGCAATCGCCTGCCTCACTCTCTCTCCCTCTCTCTCTCTCTTTCTTTCTCGCTCTCCAGGGCGCGCTTCATGCAGTGAGGAAGACTACGTGTGACGGCTCCTCCTCCTCCTCCTCCTCCTCTCCCTCCCCCTCCTCCTTCTCCTCCTTCTCCTCCTCCTCCTCCTCTTCCTCCCATGTCATCCGAACTCGGCGCGCTCTTCTTTCTGGGTATGCCCGCCTCCTCCTCCTCCTCCTCCTCCTCGTCTCCCTCCTCTCCCTCATCCTCCTCCTCGTCCTCCTCCTTCTCATCCTCCTCCTCCTCCTCCTCCTCCTCCTCCTCCTCGTCCTCCTCGTCCTTCCTCCTCCTCCGTCTCCTCCTTTACCTCGTCCTTCTCCCACTCCTCCTCCTCCTCCTTCTCCTCCTCCGCCTCCTCCTCCGCCTCCTCCTCCTTGTCCTCCTCCTCCTCCTCCTCCTCCGCTGCCGCTTTCGCCTCCCACCGCTCGCGGGGCACGTGGGGTGCTCGTCTCGACAGGGGCGCGCTCCGCGGAGAGAGAGAGAGAGAGAGAAAGAGAGAGAACGACTGCCTGTGGCGGCTCGTGAGGCAGGGACCTGGTTCGGGAAGGTCTACACCCTAGGCGATGCTTAAGAAAACCTGAGTTTTCGGCCAGAGTCTCGATTATTCTTAACTTTTCAATGTAAATCCCAAGATGTTGATAGGTCTGGGTTTTATCAAATGTCTGAGACTATGAATTTCTTAACCCATGATTTCTTAAGCAGTTCGCAAGGTGTATTCGGAACCAAGAACAGATACTCAGTGCCAATTGCCTTATCCCTCGTGTCGCCGATCGGCGCAGGCCCTCGCCCCCCCATTCACCCCGCTCACCCCTATCCATGGAGTAGACCTTGGCCGTGTTGGGCGCATGCTTCAAGCAGGTGGGTTTTCCCACATGGCACGCACTGCTGCAAACAGTCGATGCCGAAACGCAGAATAAGAAAACCATCACCATTACCAGTGGCGGGCTGTTTTTCAATCCCAGGGCTGTTGGGGGTTCGGGGACGACGTCGGGGTGGTGTGGTGTATATGTTTTTACGCTACCCGGGGACACACCGAGGAATGTTCTGGTTGACCGAAAAGGGGGTCCAGCTGAAAGGGGGCTGGTGCAATATAATCGGTGCAATCGATTTGTGGGGTTGCAATGGGGCGTGCAAAACATTATGGTGTGCAAAGGTATTGCTGGATTTTCTCGTGCAATGTATCAGCTATAATACAATGCGAGAGCATTCTCACTGGCGCAGTACATTTGCAATTCTACTGCCCCACATCGATTGCGCCAGCCTTTTACAGCTGAACCCCCTTTCGGGTCAACCAACACTGTATACACCAGGATCCCATATACACAAGGATCCGCTTTCCTGTGCGAATTTCAGTGCAGGGCCAGAAGAAGCGTCGGTGTATAGAGAGTTCGTTTCCCTACATGGGACGCTCGTCTTTCAAGTGGAGGCGCTTCGTGCAGTGAGGAAGACTGCTTGTGATGGCTCGTGTCGGCGAAACGTAAGTCTTGAGTGCGCCAGAGCTTGGGTTTGCCGACGCTGTTCGACGAGCGCGTTCTGAATTTTGACGGACCAGCTTTCGTGGGATTTGCAGCGGGAGTTCGCGTCAAATTTCTGATTGGGTCTCGTCATGCTCATGATAACCTTGTCAGGCCAACGCGAGTCCCCCGAACCCGAGTCCTACGTCTCCGCGATCATGAGGAGGGGACTTGGATCGGGAGGGACTACTCAAGCATCGTTGATTCATCCTGGTCTTGTTCTGGTCATGTTTCTTCTCCGCCACCTCAAGTTTTCAGAATGTGTGTTGCGCATGTTGGTCATCCTGGTGCATCTAGGCCCCTAGACTATCAGGAGATTTTTTGAGGAGGGTGCGTGACTACAGCCCTGGAATACAAGGGGGACGATGTTTCTACTATTGATTGGCGATTGTTTGATTATGTTTCGTCTTTCATTAAAAATCCGCCTGTAGGGGATAATGCCCGACCTCAGACTAAAAGGTACCGGGGTCACGCAGTCGAGGCGCTGGAGGAAGGACCTTCTTGGCTTGGGGAGAGGTTCGGTAATCGTTGGATCCCAGACAGTCGACGTCGTGACTGCTCTCTATCCCCGAGTTTGTCTTGAATCATGGCCTCCAGGGGCCGCGCTCGGGGCCCAAGATTATGATTGGAGTGTGCCACCCACTTGCCACTGGATTCTCCTGGAGTCTCGTGGCCAAGCACCCCTGCGATTGTCACTCGCCCTGGGCGTTCGCGGTCCTCTCTGTCGCGCCTCCCTCGTCCTCAAGCCCGGAGGAGGAGGAGGAGGAGGAGGAGGAGGAGGAGGAGGAGGGGTAGGAGGAGGAGGAGGAGGAGGAGGAGGAGGAGGAGGAGGAGGAGGAGGGGGGGGGGGGGGGGGGTGGGAGGAGAGGAGGAGGGAGGAGGAGGGAGGAGGAGGCGGAGGAAGGAGGAGGAGGAGGGGAGGAGGAGGAGGAGAGGAGGAGGGGAGGAGGAGGAGGAGGAGGCTGCGGCTCCAGCGCCGCAGACCTCTCCTCGGCCTCCCCGCGCCCCCTCCCGCCGCTCGCCTGCTTCGGCCCCGCTCGCTCCATCCCTGCTGCCTCGGGTTCCTGCTCCTGTTCCTGCTCCTGCTTCCTGCTGCTCCTCCTCCTCCTCCTCCTCCTCTCTCCTCCTCCTCCTCCTCCTCCTCCTCCTCCTCCTCCTCCCTCCCTCCTCCCTCCTCCCTCCTCCTCCTCTCCTCCTCCTCCTCCTCCTCCCCTCCCAGGGCGCGTTTCGATTCCTCCGATTCGATTCGACTCGACTTCGATGGATTCCGATTCCGATTCGAGTCGATTTGGGCTTCCGATGTGGGCTCCGATGTCTTATTGGAGACCTACTAGCCTGCCGATTTCCGCCGATTCGACTTTTCCCGACTCGGCTGCCGATGTCCGCCGATCCGATTCATTTCGATCGCCGATCCGACTTATCGATTCGATTCTGGGCTCCCCTGCCCTCCCCTCGGGACGATCGGCACGGGTACAGAGAGAATGGGCACAGTGCCCGCCAGCAGCTCCTGTCAATCATGAACGGGACTCGCTGCCCGCGCCTCCGCGAACGTTCTTCGTTCTTTTCGAAGACGCACAGCCGCCTGCCCAACAGCGACCGCGGTCGGTTTGGGACAGCATGTGTTGTCCGGCATGGTACCCATTTTTCCCGTACCCACATCGGGCGTCCGAACCCCTCCCTCCGGCCTGACCCCCCCCCGCAGAGGACACCGACATTGCCGTTGCCCGGGCCGCCTTGGCAGCCAACGACTGGGACGTAGAGGCCAGGGCTCGGGCTCCAAACGGTGTGTTGGCGATCTCGTGGTCCGCGTTCGCCTCGGCGCGGTCCCGCCGCAGAGGCGAGCCGCAGACAGCACGAGGGACAACGACAGGACAGGGCGAGAACGGGAAGCAGCCGTGAGCTCGAGCCTTGGCAGAGGCCACTCGGCTCGCGTTCTCCGGCAGCACCCGCGCCTACGGCGAGCACCTCGGAGACCGCGGCGGGGATCGCCACCGCGCGCTCGCGCGCGGCGGCTACGCAGCCGGACAGGCCGATCCCGAACCCGTGGAACAGGACGAGTTCGAGCTGGCCGTGAGGGCCTCCCTCGCGGCGGCAGAGGAGCGCAGGGCACCAGCTGTGCTGTGGAGGGGGCCGACATTTCCACTCCGTCTCCTCCTCTTGCTCCTCCTCCTCTTGTTCCTCCTCCTCCGCATCCTCCTCCCTCCCTCCATCCATCCATCCCTCCATCCCTCTCCTCCTCCTCCTACTCCTCCTCCTCCCTCCCTCCCTCCATCCATCCCTCCCTCCCTCCCTCCCTCTCCTGCTCCTCCTCCTCCTGCTCCTCCTGCTCCTCCTCCTCCTCCTCCTCCTCCTCCTCCTGCTCCTCTTGCTCCCTCCTCCTCCTCCCTCCTCCTCCTCCTCTCTCCTCCTCCCCTCCTCCTCCTCCTCCTCCTCCTCCTCCTCCTCCTCCTCCTCCTCCTCCTCCTCCTCCTCCTCCTCCTCCTCCTCCTCCTCCTCCTATCTGGAGAGCGAGGCTGACAGACTTAAGCAAGGTCGACACCGACGTGATCCTTGGCATGGCGCAGCAGGCGGAGCAGGAGAAGCGGCTCGCACTCAAGAGGGACCTCCAAGAGAATACGCGGGCCTTCGGACAGTGGCTTGCGCTGGCTGAAAAAGACGTCGGCGTGCTGCACCGCATCACGAAGCCACCGCCCAGGCGCGAGGAGGAGGTTGTTACTCATGATGGGGTACTGGACTGCCCCACCAAGATAGTCGACGAGAAAGCGAAGGCGTTCCAGGACATCTGGAAGTGCGACCGACTCAAGCACGAGCAGCACACCGAAGTTCTCCAGCGACTACGGGAGCGTGCACGTGCGGAGGCGGCCCCAGAATGGACGCTCGAGGACCTAGACGAGGCCCTCAGAGGAGAGCCCGACAAGGGCAAGGGCATTGACATGTTGGTGTGCTCCGACATCCGCAGGCTGCCGCCCGAAGGCCGCCAGAGGATCGTCGAGTTCTTCAACTCATGCGAGCAGGCGCTCGCATGGCCGTGGCAGCTGCTGTGCGAGATCGTGATGCTCACGCCCAAGCCAGCCAAGGGCGATAGGGCCCTCGCCCTGCTGCCGCAGATGGTGCGCTGCTGGGAGTTGCTCCACAGGCCCGCGGTGAGGCGCTGGGCCAAGCAGCAGGAGAGAGAATGGGACGCCGCCGTGGCGGGCAACAGCTGCCTGCGCGAGGCGATGAGGAGAGTCATCAGCGACGAGTGCTGCGACGCGCTCCAGCTGTTCCACGGCAACCTGCTCGCGGACATCGAGAAGTTCTACGACAGCCTTCAGCTCGACTGCGTGATCGAGGCGGGCCTGAGGATGGACTTCCGCCCCCGCCTGCTGGCGATGATGCTGCTGCAGCACTCAGCCACGAGGGTGCTGCGGTGGAAAGGTGCCTTCTCGACACCTACCTGGGCAGACAGGTCGCTGCTGGCAGGCTCGAGGCACTCCAACAACCTGGCCAAGACGGTGGTCTACTCCGTCATCGGCAGGCTGCTGGAGGCCTCTCAGGCGCTGCCCAAGCCGCTGCCGAGGGCCTGGTTCGACGACATCAGCATCCGCATCCTGGGCAGCGCAGAGGCAGTCGAGCAGGAGCTGACGGCGGTCACGGTGGGGCTGCGCGACGGTCTACGAGCACAGGGACTCTCGCTCGCGGACAAGACCGTCATCTTCAGCACCAACTACCGCACCACCAAGAGGGTACAGCAGGCGCTGCGCAAGGTGAACCTCCCCGTCCAGGCCGTCACTGAGGGCCGCGACCTGGGGACTGACCGAGGCGCAAGAGGCACGCTGAGAAGGGGCACCCACAGAAAGAGGACGAAGCACGCCTTCACGCGCTGCGGCCACGTGGGCAAGAAGCTCAGGAGGCTCAGGCTGCGGCGGAGGAGAGGCATTCTGCACCAAGGAGCGGTGGCCTCCTACATGCACGGCGCGACGGTGCACGGCATGGCACCCTGGGCGCGGCAGAAGGCGAGGAGGAGGTACGCACAGGCTCTGAGGAGGCCGTGGCCAGGCCGCTGCCTCACCACGTTCCTGGCGCTGGAGGGCGCCGACCCCGCGATCACCGCGGTGAAGGCGCAGCTGAAGACGTGGTTCGAGGTCTGGGCCCGCAGCCCCGACATCAGAGCACAGGTCAAGCTTGCCTGGCCGAAGATCTACTTCCAGCTCCGCAAGCTCAGGGCAGAGAAGAGGTGGCAGGCACGCAAGGGGGCGCTGGCCAGCCTGATCCTCCTGCTGTGGGAGGTAGGCTGGGACTCCAGAGGACCAGACGTCTGGATCGACAGGCAAGGGGACTACTGGAGGTTCAACACCGACGAGCAGGGCGGCGACTACACAGAGATCGTGGACGCGCTCCTGCAGGATATCCAAGACCAGCTGTGGGAGACGGCATCGCAGCACCACAACGGCGGAGGGCTACAATATGGCGCGGACGTGACCGACCTTAAGAAGCACCTCAACCAGCTCGCCAAGAAGGAGCACCACGGCACGTACGGCGCGCCCCTCACGGCAGCGTGTGCAGGCACCTGGACGAGGCGGCGCAAGCACGAGACCTTCGGCGGCGAGGAGGCCATGTGCGAGTGCGGCAGACCAGAGGATGATGCACACAGGATCTGGGGCCACTGTGCGGCCCGAGCCGACTGCGAGGCCATCCGCAAGACAGAGGGCTTGGCATGCAGGGCCATCGAGGGGGCCAAGGAGAACCCCGCCTTCTGGCTCAGAGGCATCACGCCCAAGAAGTGGACCACGCCGCCCAAGTGCGACACCCAACACGTCGAGCACACCGTGGGCGCCTGCATCACCAACAACAGGCTCTCCGCCAGCGACGGCGGCGAGATCGCGGGCTGCGGCGACGGCTCAGGAGGCGAGTACAGCGCAGACGAGAGATACTGCCGCTGCGGCTGGGGCTGGGTGCTGCTGAAGGAGGGCGACGACGCCGACGGGATCGCGGGCGCCAGATTCGGCCCACTGCCAGGACCGAGGCAAACCAACAACAGGGCGGAGCTCTTCAGCCTGATCAGCTTCGTCAACGCCACGGAGGGCAAGGCCAGCTTCTGGACCGACAGCGAGGTCACCTGCCTGGGCTGGGCGGCGCGACGCGAGGAGACCACAGGGCTCGGCTGCACGAACGGCGACTTGTGGCACCAGCTGGGCGAGGCGATCCGTGCGCGAGGAGGCGACCGCAACGACATCAGCGTGCACCACCTCAACAGCCACATGACTGAGCAGGAGGCCCGCGCGAAGGGCATCACGAGGCGCATCTGGGCAGGCAACCAGGCAGCCGATCAGTACGCAGACGCAGGCGCCAAGACCCACGCGATCAGCGACACCGAGATGAGCTGCTACGAGTGGGTGAGAGCGACGGCGCACCTGGTGAGGCTCAGGATCGCTGCAACCACCAAGGACGTCATCACCAGAAGGCCGCCAGACGAGAAGGAGATGAGAGAGGCCCGCCGCGCTCAGGCTAAGAAGCGACGGCAGGACACCGTGCGCAAGAAGGACCTGCTGGGGGACAACCACTTGCGGCGGCCGCTCACCCAACACGTTCTGGCACGAGACCGTCGAGGCACAGGCTGGACGTGCCTGAGCTGCTGGCAGTCGGTCTCCAGTACGATGACGGCGCAGAACATCCACAGCTGGCTGACGCAGGAGCGCAGTGGCCCACCGCCCGAGACGGCGATCACGGTCACCAAGTTCGGCGTCGAGTCGCATCCCACGCACAAGCTGAGGCGGCTGAGGAGGCACAACAGGTGGTTCTGCGAGAAGTGCGGCGGCGCCACCACTGAGCTGATCGCCAAGAAGCTGCAGGAGCCTTGCTGTGGACACACGGCATGCGACAGCGGGCACTACAGGCTACAGGGGCGGCTGAGGCAAGCGGCGCGAGAGCAAGGCACCTGCGACAGGCCTCGCGCACAGAGCGACCCTGAGGACGAGGAGGACGAGGAGCAGCTTGCAGAGGCCAGCAGCAGCCAGAGCACGGAGGTCGACACGACAGGGGGCGCAAGTGGTGTTTCCTGGCGAAACAAACGGGAAGAGCCACCCTGCCGTCTGCGGGTGAAGTGCCGAGGCAACGCTGCTGGCGCGCTGGAGGCGACGAGGAGAGCTACGCCGCCTGCGGAGCCTGGCAGCCTGCCCGCCCCACCAGCTGCAGGAGCAGGCCGAGGGCCCGCGACGCGGGACAGGGCACGTCGGGCCGCGGCGGCCAGAGCGAGAGCGCGCAGCGAGGCAGCAGGCGCGCGACCCGACGGCGGAGACAGAGGAGAGCAGAGGCCACGGCGATCAGAAAGCGAAAGACGACGAGCTGAGGAGCCGATCGTGAGACGCCTGCTGGACGCGACCGCCGCCACACCAGCACCGACGCCGACACCGACGCCAGCACCACCAGCAGCAGCAGACCGACCTGATGAAGCTGAGGCCGCACGCCGTGCCGCCTCGCGAGCGCTGCTGGAGGAGGAGCGGTGGCGCGCGGCGCGCCCGCCGCCAGAGGCGAGAGGGGCCCGCGCGGCGAGCGCCGCCCCGCCGCTGCCGCTGGGCGCGCTGCGTCGGCTGCTGGACGAGGGCGAGCGGCCCGCGGGGCGGGTGAGGACCACGCGAGGCGGAGCTGATGGCAGACGATGTGGTCTCCCCGCCCCGCGGAGAGAGGGCTCGGCTGCGGAGCCGCCCGCAGGCCCCTCGGTTGCTCGGCACGTCCCCCTGTTGCCGAGGACCGAGGCGGCCTGAGAGGCGCCGAGAGCGGCGCCCCCGCGCGCGCGCGCCGACAGCGCCGCGCGGGTTGCCACGACGTGGCGGCTCGAAAGAGCTCGGAAAGAGCTCCTCCTCCTCCTCCTTCCTCCCCCTCCTCCTCCTCCTCCCTTCATTTTAACGCACTCCCTCCTCCCCCTCCTCCTCCCCCCCTCCCCCCCT